TTGATATTCCTAGAGGGATGACGCGCCATGAAGGGACCCGACGGCTACCAGATGTTTGTAGCTCCCGTGTCGACAAGTGCACTCTGGAAGCTGGATGTGACCGCTTAGTGTCCGGTGTCACCGGTGTGTTTTTGTAGTGGATGTGGCGTTGTAGCTATTGCGGGAGTCGGTTTGAAAATTTTGCAAGACGCGTGTTAAGAGTGGGTGACAGATTAACAACTGGGAGTCAATAAGTGATACCGGCGAGGCAGGGTGTAGCGGGGTTGTGTTGTCTGGGATAGGTTAAGGAGATGTGGAAGCTGCATTTGGGAAAATTGATGCATATGCTGATATTGTGGTGGTGGGCGAAATCGTACGTAACGAATAAAGGAGCTGGATTTATTGGGCCGCAGCATGAATGCTGCACCATTGGTGTGTTTCCAAGGAAATGCAAGTGGTTCATTTGCACTGTCAGTAAAGGTGCTGGTACATTACTCAGCACGTTCCTTGGAGCTTTTAGATGCGAACAGGTGCACAGGAGCTGTGAATACTAGACGCCAAATAGTGAGGCGACCGCAGAATAGCAAATAAAAGAGTTGCTTTAAAGACAGCTAACCCTGAGATGAAAATGGTCCGCGTAAACAGGCAGGGAGAGAAGCTGATTGCGTGCATTGACTTAGGTATTGTCGCCGATTCGTCAAGTGTTCTGCGCCAGCAATATGCTCAGTATGAATTCATTAAAACTGTCTCTGTTAAAAAGCAGTCCCCAAAAATTTTTAGCAAAAAAAGCTAACAAAAGAGTGCGATAGGTTATAATTTCGAAATATTTCTCAGCATATATTCAAGTGCGTTCTACAGACGTGTGAATGTAGAGCATCATGAAAGGAGCTCAGTTAAAATGGCAAATTAACCGAACTGTAAACACCTACATTCACGTCAGTTTGTCATCTGTGCTCGGCCTGCTACCACGACAATGCCAGGGTCACAAATGCGTCTTTCTGCACACGCAGAGTTGGACCGAGTTGTTTGATAGCCACGGCCTCAGCATGTCGTAAAGTTAGGGGTTGGTTGAGGCATAGATAACACGGAACGCCCGAACGAGGTCTACACAGTGATTGTCATCCAGCAGATGGCGGGCCGTTGATGAAGCTGGTTGTTTGTACGGAACTTCATTTCGTTTCCTTGCCTGCGCATTCAAGTTGGTGGGCGCGGCCATCTGCGAAACGTGGTTACTCACCGACGTTGGTATGTGCTCTGCGTTCCTCGCCCTCAAGTGTCGTTCTGTCATGACCAAGTATTCGGCCTTGCAAATACATGTAAATTGGTAAAGAATGTGTGAACGGCTGGATAGTGACAGCGGGAGTTTAACCGATGGCGTATGGATACGATTCGTTGTGTAGGTGAGTACTGGAGTAGCCGCAGGGTATACGCGCGCCAATGCGGGTATTTCAATCGGCGTTGAAAAATCTGGCATAGGTCGTCGTCCCTGAATGGCGATTTCAGGGTTACCTTCATCTATGGTACCGTGGGCACACAAGTTTCCTTTTTCTCAGCACTAAACTGAGCGATGAAGGACGGTGAGTACTCATTTTATACGTGAGTGCTGGTTCTCAGCCGCACCTCTTGTTCCAGCGTGTCAGCAGTGCATATTTTTATAGTTCTGTTGAAAAAGTCTTCACTAGACCTTGTTTGTACCTTTTGGGGACAAAACTGTAAAAGTTTAAATACTGTCCCTTCCAAGTTGGCTTGCGCTAAACTGATCTGCGTACTGAACCGTCACTTCTACGCTCTATCAGTGTGTCCAAGTTCGAAGGCGTGTCATGTTTTTAATGCTGTGTTATCACTTTAATGAACCCGCTAAATTTACGACATGCTGTGGCCTTGGCTATCAAACAACTCGGCCGAACTCTGCTTTTGCTGAAAAACGCATTTGTGACCCTGACATTGCCATAGTAGCGGGCCGTTCACAGATGACAAAGTGGCATAAATGCAGGTGTGTACAGGTTGGTCAATTTGCCATTGTAACCGCGCTCCTTTCGTGATGCTATACTTTTACACATCTGTAGCACGCACTTGAAAATATGCAGAGAAATTTTTCCGGAAATACGTCGTACGGCATTCTTGTGTTAACTGTTCTGCCAGTCGTTTTCTCGTTAGCTAATTTTTTCAGTTATCTCAAACGCCACCTCTCGAAGCATATTGTGAAACATCTGGAAAGTCTTGTCAAGATGAACTCTACAATTGCCAACTGTCCTTGCAGATGGAGCTCCAGGAACAATGTTTACATGTACGCCGTTTCCTCGACGCCTGTTTCAAGGTTCTACGAGCTCAGAAACTACGATCGAACGATAGGAATTTAAGACGAATGACCAAATGTTTACTCGAGGAGACTACTGCAAAGCTCAAAAATACCGTGAGATGTGCTTAGCCAAACGATCAGCAATCGACAAATTAACTTTGGTATGTTACTTCAAATTTGATAACTTCTGCCGGAATTCGGTAAGTGAAATTAAGTGGATCT